TTATTTTCTTATAATATTTTCTTTCAGTGTGAGAAATTAGATTTTTTTTATTTATTAATGTGTAGAATTCTAGTATGCCTACATAGAATATGACGTGATTTAAGAATTTAAGAAACTGATATGAAAGCTGTGTATAATGTTTATATGGAATAAAAAATATTTCGGTGCTACTTTGGTAGACGGTTGCACGGATTTTGGCGATTTGTTGGCGATTTTCCTTTGGCGAGTAATACAACTTATGGTAAACCCATTGCTGGATAAGTTATTTATGGTAACCGATACTTTGTTGTCATTTTATTTAAAAAATAATGCGTTTTATTGTGCATAAATTCCGTGTTTAAAATATTATTTATGGCTTTTAAATATTAAAAATCAATTTAATTTTGCATTTTTATTTGAAATAAAAATTTTATTGTTTATCATATTTTATGGATTATTTGGATTTGGATTATTCAGTTATGGCAAAGCGCACGAGGGCTATCTGCCTAAAGGGAGGGATGCCTTTCGTGGAGGACTTTCTAAAGGAAACTGGCTCGTATACACGTTACACATAGGGAAAACCACGAAAACGCCCATGCAGCCAGCCCGTTCGCGGGATTCGAACCTCAGACCGAACTACCAGTGTTCATCGTCTTTACCGCTCGGCCGCTGGTGGGCTATCATATTTTATGATATTTTATGTTGTGGATGATGTAATCAATGACGTCACCTTACTTTAAAAGTAATTCGTTTTAATATGTATAAATTTAATATAATGTTTTAAACATTATTTATGGCTCTTAATCTGATGATGAATCATTATTTATGATCTTATTCTGATGTATGTGCTAATGAAATGAATGCAGCTGAAATCCTTTTTGGTCATGGTTTTCAAAACTGTTACATAATGCTGACTAATAATAGTTAAGGCTCCTCTAAACCAGGCTGAATCACCAACTTTTCTCTCTTGGCGAGGGAGTGAACGCGCTGCCAATTTTGGCGCGTTTATCGCACACGCTGGCTGAATGTCTGCTGTTTTTTTAAAGATTTATTTTATAGACGCGCGGCATTCAGCGCATATAAACTTTTCGGATAATTTATTAATTCTCGAATAGTATATAGACGTTTTCACTTAAATAAAAATTTCGCGTATATTTGTAAACATATTCAAAATAATTAAGACACAATAACACGTCGAATAAATACTAATTCAGAAGTCAAACAACAATAATCAGCGTTATTTGCTGCAAAACCGCAAATTTTGCGGTTTTGCAGCTGAAGATGGTGGTTCGGTAAAACCATCGAAACTAGTTCTGTGAAAATTTTGTAAATATAACGCTGATTATTGTTGTTTGACTTCTGAATTAATATTCAAAATAACTTATTCTTTAGATGTTTCAGTTTCGTTAGCAGACTAAAATAAATAAGATATGAATAAAAACTTTCAAGTGTCAAATGGGGAAATAGTTAAAGCGTAGAGTGTGCAAATAAATTTATCTTAATGACATTTTAACAAAAATTTCCATAAAAACACTGTAAATTCATACTAAAAAAATAACTTAAGAATATGTTGTCATTTAAGTCTGAGGTATATGGAAATAATTGTGCAAGATTCTGAAGAAACACTTTCTTTTAAATGTATGAAATATTTCATAACATATATGGACTTATGATTCATTATATTTTAAACCTTAAATTTGAATTCTGCACCAAATTATTTACCTATATTTTAACATACTTTATGAATTATTAGAAGCGATATGGCAAATATCTTCTAAAAATAACTGTAAAATATTTGTATCCATTAATTGATTTAGATACACACTTTTATTATTTAAGTATATCAAATTAACAGTTTCATGTTCCTGAAATACAAAAATTATGGAAAAAGTTAAAGTAATATTCTTAGAAGCATATGATATTAGTCACCAGATGCAAAATTATAGTTAAATTTTTTGCCCTAAATACAATTTTATTACACAGTAGTCAAATGTGTAACTTAATAACATGTTATATAAAAAATTAATGATAATAAGTTTATCAGAAATGAATTAATTCTGCAAATAAACTTTCTGCACTTGAAAATTTTCTACACCTGAGGGGAGGGAGAGATCTAGTAAAATTAGATTTATTATAACTTCAATTGGACCAAACACCTTCTCTCTATATATATGCATCACTAATAAATAAAATTATCATGCTTAAAAAACAGATATACCATACCAGTTTTTTTTCCCCTTGTTACCCTTTACATTGAGAAATAACAAACAGTACAACACTGAAAAATACTATACTTGAAATTTTGTTTAAATGAAGAAACACACACCCTCTTTTTATTTAAGCATTACACTTCAAAAACAGATACACATACCAATTTATTTTCACTAGCCTTTGATACTGAAAAATAACATGCCGTATAAAAATGAAAGAATTCCTTGAAATTTGATAAAAAAGAAACACATACCATCTTTTATTCATGCATTACTAAAATGAATAAAACGAATTTCAAAAACAGATACACATAATATACAGGAAAATTCTGACACATATTCATGAAGATTCACTGAAAACACAATCCAGTACTATAATATAACAAAATGGAAAATTTATGCACACGGACATCCTTTTTTCTATTGCATGTTGTCTGACATGATCCACAAGTGCCTAAAAATATACCCAAAGAAACGCATTTCAATATTAACAAAAAATTTTGTTTACAGATTAAAATTCATTCATTTCATACCAGTATTATAAAGATCATGCATGAAACAAATCTGCTTTCCCATACTTTTAAGTAAAACTTTTATACTGGAAAATAGACTATATTTCTATATATTAGAAAACAAGAAAATACTAATTTGAATGTTCTGCATTCATTTCTAAATCTTTACTCCATTGCCAAATTGTATGATACTGTGATTATAAATAATGGTACTTGCACAATCCTTGCAATTATTGAAGTCAGATTATATATATTTTGTCTCACACTATTCAATTTATTCTATTGACTTCAGATGTCAATGTCAAAATTCTGGAAGTTATTTTAACCAAGAAACAGTAGTGGGCACCGTGCATAAACAACTCATGTAACTTTTAACAATAGTGATTATAAAATAAAGAAAGAAAATTATATATCATTCCAACGATATTGCAACTATAGTATAATGTTACATATATCTTTAGCAAATATTCAGATTTTATCTTGCATTTCCAAATTATTATTCTCAAATTATTATTTATTTTTTAATAAATTTCAATATGCTAATGATTTTCATGTTACATTAGTATAAATTCCACAATTAGCACAGGAAAACAAAATCCTTGCTTTATATTAGAAGATAAATTTCTTTTCCACATTCAAAACATCTACATTGGCGATGTTTGGCGACGGGTACATTAACCCTAGACTAATTTAATTATAGCTATTATTACAGAAATTAGCAGATACTCAGGTTATTGTACACAAGAATTTCACTTTACTTGCATCAGAAAAGATATAAACTCTAAATGAAGGCGTAATTAACATTATACTTACTAAGCAAAGTTCAGCGCCTGGACCAGGTTTCCAATTGTCTCTTCGGCAATTATTTACCCATATTTTTCTTCTTTCTTCATTTTTAGGAAATTTTACCAATGTATGACCTTTCCGTGAATGATTTGAACAATTAATAGCTGTACATCCGCCCATTTTACACACCACAACAAAAAAAAAAAAAAAAAAAAAAAAAAAAAAAAAAATTGTTGCACCGTAACTACACAGCCTCCATTAAATCTCCCACTTGGGAGCGCGAATGCCTGATGATTCAGCCTGGTATATAGGAGCCTTAATAATAGTTGCCTGCTGAAGTATTTCATGTTAATAAATCGCTCCATGATATTCAAAGAATGACGTAACTATTACTTTTACCACTGGCTTTACAGCTTTGGTCTCCTTTGAAGTGAGAGAACATAGTGATTTCAAGAATGTGCTTGCTTGTCTATTGTCAGAATCTTAGTGATCCACCAGCAGTAATGATAGATTTTAAGTATACCTTACCATGCTTCTCTACCAAATTCTGAAGTCCCCCCCCCCAAAAAAAAGTTGAAGCAATGGGTGCTGCATCAATGAGCAGTAAAATTCTACGGCCGTAAAAAATTAGAATTCAGAAAAACATTGGGTTGAAGAATTTAGGAACCACGGATGGCGGCAAAATACCCTGCGCCGACACTGCTCGCGTATATACCGGAACTTGCTTTAGTTTAAGAATTAACATTCTCAGCACCCGTCTAGCATAGATGCATTTCATGTGCAGACGAAAATGCAGAATGATGATGCCCTTACGGAATGTATAACATCTTGGTCAGTTCATTCCACTGTTACTCGGCGATCTCCTCAGAAAACAGTATCGGCTGAGTGCAGCTTATTTTGCTACTAGAGAAATCGGAACCATTTCCCTTTGAAAATGAAGAGCGGGCTTTCCTTGAATTGCTTGAACCATTTAAATTCAGTTCATTATAGTAAAACATTTTTGCCGTATGCAACATTTCTTATGCTTCTGTAGAGGATTTATGTTAACGAAAGCAAAATTTTAAGGTTGCATACTGCCCATCACGAAGAGATTCCATTTTTCTATTTGTATTTTATTCCAATCACATGCATTACAAATCCCTCCATCCTCAACAAACAAATTTCATAAAATGGGTGTACATTCGTAAAGCGAAGAAAACTCGGATGTCTTTTGCATTACTTATTTTTATCTTTAATTCGAAAACAGTCAATCAAGCCGCGAATTTCCATCAAGGATCAAAGTTAGATCATATAATAATGCATTTTTTTTTTTTTTTTTTTTTTGAATTTATAAACCATCTCTTGAGCAAGATTTTGGATATTCGCAAAGAAACTGCTTCCAATTTTTACTGATACTTTTACTAAAAAATGCTATTCACAATTTATTCAGTGATACCGAAACATCATATTTTTATAATTTCTCACAAGGCTGCGCTGCAGTCCGTATGTTGCGCAGTCGCATATTCACTTCATTTACGGTTCACCTTTGGGTCGCAGGATAGGGTGCATTCAACATCTCCGATTCGGCGAGGCGTAAATAAATTTTTTAAACTGAATCTAAATTTCGCATCAAAATATGGAAGATAAAGGTGGAAATACATATAAAATGAACGAAGAAGAGACGAAGTGGCAAAGTTTCAAAAAAGTAATTTGGAATTCCGAAACGAAAGAATGTTTTGGGCGAACAGGGCTAAGTTGGTGTAAGTTGATTTATTTATCTGCTTAAATTAATTCAGAAACATATTTTATGCAGATTAAATGTTTACATTTACGGAGTGTATTTTTGCATAATTTATGAAATTTTATATTTGAGTTTATTGCACATTTACAGTATGTGTATATGTGAATTTATCGTTTGCTGCTAGTATCCTAACTGGGTGCCCTAGTTAAATTTGGATTCGTTTGTTGCACAGAAGTTAGGCAACTGTAAAATATTAATGTGCTCCGTATATAATTGTAGCTGAAGTTATTTGTGAATTGATAAAAATTATGTAGTCAAATCTTTGATAGTTTTGTTTTTATAAATACAAATTAAAGCCTTTTTTTTTTAATGTCTTCATGTGATACAATAAGAAATATGCAACTTTAAAAATCATGTAGATAAATACAAATGCATGATGTTAAAATCTATGTTAACGTTGTAATAGCGCATTTAAGAAATCTATCGTTTATTTGTTTGGTGTATATCATTCTTTCGAAATAAATATTCCTTAATGTATCAAATATTCATTAATTTTTTTTGATGGAATGGCATTTTCTCTTTCAATATTTTGATTTTCTCTTTTGAAAAGTACTAAGATTACGTTCAGTTTGATTTTTTTTTTCCTTTTTGAAAGGCACCATGAATTATGTGCATTTGTTTTTCGATTCCTCTTGCTTGTATATAAGAGGATTGTGGATACAAATACTCTCATGTACCAACTGTTTGTGCAAGAATGAAATTTATAAATGCATATAATTCTAGAAAGTAATTTGTGTACTTCGGTAGTAAAAAAAAGTAGTAAAATTTAGAAGGGCCTTTTTACTTTAAATATAGTGTTCGTAAATAGCAGTTTAATGACATCAGAAGTCAAAGACTTGTGTGGTTTAGAAAAAAGAAATCTCCGTAGATTAAAATTTTCTCTATTATTTGGATCTATTTTATCACTACAGTTGTAATGCATCAAAAGGTTCTGATGCAAATTTAACAGAGCTATTAAAGTTAACAAAAGATTTATCTCCCTCCTCTACTTTCAAAAACTCAAAAAATATGTATACATGTGATTAAATTTCACTTATTTTTTAATATGTTTTATAAAGTAATCAAGGAAAAGAATAGAAAATATTGATAAACCAAACTTGACTAAAAGTAGTTTTTTTTATATTTATTAACTAAAAACTTAAGGTAACTAAAAGCATTACCTCATCCTCCCCCTCTCAAAATTATGAAAACCCGCTGGGGATATTTCTTCCTTGTTGAGAACCTCTGGTTTAGTCTCTTGATAATGTTTTTTATATAATAACAGTTGATACTATGCATGAAAGGTTCTAGCTACGGTGTTTTCGACTGCAATAGCATTATGATTTCTCTCTCTTTCAAGTTATTTGAAAAAATGGGCTTTTGTTAAGTCATCACTTCTAACCAAATGGTAAAAACTCATTTTTGCCAGTAAGTGTTTATAGAAATTGTGTATAAATGTTTTTGATTAGCGAAGTATTTAAAAAATAAGTAAATAAATAAATGCTCCATCTTTGTTTTTAAAAACAGTTTTCTTTAAAAATATTATTAAAATTTTTTCAAAATGTGTTAGACATAATTTAGTAATTGTGCAGAAAAATTTATTTTAATCAAGATTTAGAATTCTGCATTTATTTTTGTTTATTTATACACAAGTTTTTATTCTGTATATCTAATTTTTTTTCCTTGCAGTCAAGATAACAATATTCTATATCATATTTTATGCTTGTCTGGCTGCATTTTGGACTTGCATGTTAGTAGTGTTCTATCAGACATTAGAAAATGATCAACCTAAATGGAAATTAGACAGCAGTAGGATAGGTTCTAGTCCTGGTAAGTATCATTTTCCGAATACAAAGTGTTTTTTAATATGTTGGTGTATGTAATAGCATTAATTTGGAAATATTAACTTGGTTAAAAAAGTCATTGCATAAGTAATTGCATAATTTTATCATGGAGGCAATTAAATAATTTATTTCTTTCATTTTTTTTTTTCAGATTATTATCTAAGATTTTATGAATGTTAAAAATTTCCATAAATGTTAGCCCTAGAAATTTTGCAATTTTTCTGTTTTTTTTATATTGTGAAGAAGGGAAGCTAGAGGCTGGTTGCAACAATTTTTGGGAAAATGTTTACATTTTTTAATATATTTATGGTTCCTTGATTGTTATTTTTTTATAGGAAAGCTGTTCGTTCATCATATGCACTAAATGAACAATCATTAATTTTGTTGATTTAGAAAAAGAAGTGTTTTATCAAAAATATTTGTCTGTTACAGCTCGCCCTAGGCTTGGGGCCAATAGTAAAGCAATAGTATTGAAAAAAACATTTGGTGATTATTACTACTTGGTATAGTGACAATGAATGATAGCAAGTGATTAGGGTCAAATAAAGAAAAATTTATTTAACCAATCAGCATAAAAGTCAGTTTTCATCGAAACTGTAATTATACGAACAAATTATAAATGGTTTATCCCTACAAAATTTAACATGTATCCATATTTTGCAAATTAAGTTTTGCACCCATTCTTTCTCAATGAGCATTGCTACCGACATCTCCATAAGTTAAGCTCAATCACTTTTCTGTTTCAGAATCTGCATTCTATTTTTCCTCTTAATTTTTTTATGGATTTTTTCCATTTCCTTTATCTTTTCTTTTTACGTTTCTTATTAATTATGTCTTCATATTCGTTTTCCAATGATTCTGTTTTGAGTGTGTCAAATAGAATGGTAGATATCCTTTTGTATCGCCGTCTGTTAGACAGTTTCTTAAGTGAAGACTTAAGGAAAGGTCTGACCTTTGAAAGTGAAAAATCGATTTTTCTATTTTGGAAAAGAAAACAAGATAGAATAAAGTAATTTGCATGTTAACATTTAAAGAAGGAAGTCTAACTGCATGAATCGAGATCTCGGGATATATGTACAGTCAAAAGTCGTTAATCCGGACACCCATAATCCAGAATGATCTATACCTCAAAGCTACAAACTTTCTGCACATGCGTCAACTCATGCACACAATACTTTTACGCATGTGCATACGCGTGTAAGCATGATATGTTTACTCATGCATGTTTAATGTATAACGGATGGTATAAGCTAAGCTAAAATTATCTAATTATCTATTTCAGTTAATGTTGTAGATTGTGTTGTTCCTAAATCTTCGAATTGGATCCGGCTAATTATTTTTTGCAGACTGTTAGAGCAGTTTTATAAAAGTAAGCTGGAACTTTTGATTATGTCAAATAGAATTTCCGATATATATTTACTAATCCGATGATGGAGATCTACCAAAGTGAAAGATGTTTCGATACAAAGTGAAAGCATGTTTTGATGTCATCAAACAAAAAGTGGAATTGCTACAAAAAATTGATAAAGGCATATCCTTTGTTTCTCTAACCATTCCGAAATCTGTTTATCAATTTCACGCTGCTCTGTGGGGGGGGGGGGGACGTCGCGGTGCGCAAATGAACTGGAAAGTTGATCTGTCAGCACTATCCTTATCTTCAGGGCAGATGTTTTTATTTTATTCAGCTTAGAATTCCTTACTAAATGTAGTATTTCATCTCGATGTATTCCATCTTTGATGTGATTTAAATCAAATTCCTCGTCATTATAAATATCACGAGTACACATCAAATAGTTTTCTGGTTGCAATTTTCTAATTTCGACTGCATAATGTATGTTTTATGCATGCGCTTTGAAAGAAATGTTTAATAAAGTAAACAAATAAATATTAAACTTTTTTTTTGGTAAATTTTGATACCCTTTAGATCATAATTGTTCTTTATTTCATAAATTACGGTTTCATATTTTTAATTTTATAATTTCTGCATGCCATCTTACCAGATTTAAACTGATGATCTATAATCCGGAATCACCCGAGGAATCCGGATTAAAGACTTTTGACTGTAATATGTTACAACTAACTTGCTTATGTTATTTCAGATAATTTTTTGTTGATTTATGCATTAACAAAATAAAAATAATAAAAGCAGAATTTTAAAATTTCAAACATTGACAAATTAATTATGTAAAACCATTTTTTAAAAAGGTAATTTACGTTAATAAAAATTTACAAAATATGTGTTTTTCCCATTAACTACCTAAGGCAGAGCACGTGCACATAACTCTGCTCGTTTCGGCTGGGCAATGACTGTGTTTGTATAATAATACCCATCAAAAAAGAATCATGATTGTTGAGAATTCTGATAAAAATTTTTAAAAACCACTGTGTAATGTTCGTACTACTACTTAACTTTATTGTAAGTATAGGCCCTGGTTCCCTTATATGTCTTTTTAAAAATATGAATGATAATTTTTTTTGGATGTGGCATGTTGACACCAGAGCTTCGATAACAATCATTTTTAAAAATGCTTACTGAAACGGCATAAAAACATTGAGGTTTTACAAGCATTGTAGATAAAATATATCCATTTGTGGTATATCAGCAATAGAAAGTTTAAATTGCAGTTGCTTTTTAGATACTGAACAAATATGGGGAAAAAAATTCTGATGCTTATCTTTGTGATTTTTCTTTTCTAATAAAGTTATTTAGGTCCTTCCAGGAAGTCTGTAATTTAGAGGAAATTGTCGTGTTTAGGTAATTTGATAATTTTGACAGCAAAAGCTTACCAGCATATTTTCTATTTATTTTAGTAAATCAGCTTTTTCTTTGGCAACCTTGATTTGGTACTGCATATGATAATTGGTGACAGTCTTTTTAAATCCCTTAACAGTTTTATTTTTTCACGAATTCGATCCAAAAAATGTTGCATTTTTTTGTATATTTTTGTTCATTTTACATTTGTAAGCTGGAAAATGTTATTAAGAGTAAGTAATATTTCTAATTATTTTAAGCATTTATAACAACTTTTTTACCGAACATGAAATAATAATGTTTTCCCTGGAAGTTGTCTTTCCTCTCTCATTTTCACCTTACAGGGAAGTTACATTTACAGTTGTGTGTATAAAAAAGTACAATTACTACACAGTTATTTCCGATTATAATTACTACATAGTTATTTTTGATTACAAACAGTACAGGTACATTTACTTGCCCTGTTTTTTTTCAGAGATCTGATTTAGTATGATACATCTTGAAACAGGGCGAGAGGCATAGTCCAACATTACAATCTGGACAAAAATACCTAGTCTCTTTTCTAATTCTTTTGCCTTTGTCATTTTTTTTTTTTTTTTTTTTTTTTTTTCAGTGAACACACATAGCACTGTCTTGTGGGTCTTAGTTTTTTTTTATCTGTAGGTAGAACCGCCACTAAAAAGTGTGTCAGTCTTAGTGGAGTGGATAAATTTATAGGTTAACCTTTTTATTCTTGTACTGCTGCATGTCTTTCAATTAGTCGGTCGATAATATCTAATCAAAACTGTAAATTTATATCTTTACTGCCATATTTTTTGTACAGCAGGTAATCATTCCATAAATTGATGTCTAGAAGATAAAAAAGATATTTTTATAGTATTTCTTCTCCTTTTTTATATCACAGTATAAGTATTTGGATTTTGGTCTGTTCGATTTACACCACAATTCTGTTGTACACCATAACTACTCTCAGTTTTTTATATCATTCTTGAATGTGGATACATGAACCATTTCTGGATTATGTACTGTAGATATAAGAGACACAGCTTTTTTGTCAATCCATTTCATAATACACGCTTTTCCTCTCTGGTAAGTGACCATTTGCCCGTTTTGAAGTTTTTCTTTCAACAATGCTTTAGGAACTTCCTTTCTCTGAACTTTTAATGTTCCATATATAACTGTGGAGCAGCTAATGAGGACATTTGCTATTTCAGGCGATGAATAAAAGTTATCTGTTGTCAGACAGTATCCTTTATCTAAAAGTGGATGTATTAGTGTCATTACAACCTGCGATGATTTGCTCAAATATTTGTAACGGTCATCAAACGCAGCTTGTTTTCCTGTGTAAATTAATATAATACATGTCTAGTCTTTCTTTCAGAAAGCATGTACGTTTTCCAAACCAAGATTGTTTTAGTGGGATATATTGTTTCCAACTTAGTCTTCCTTTATATAACATAAGACTCATGTCAAATCATAGGAAATAATCAAAGGAAAAGATACCTGTATAAAGATATCTGTATTTTGATGTTGGTTCCTGTTTTTTATTCTAGAATGCCTACTAAATACACTATTTTGTATGCATTGCTCCATATCTATTTGTTTCCAAAACAATATCAATATCAGCTATATCAATAGTCAAGTTAATTTTTGGGTTTCTAATGAAAGCAAATCTAGGAGGTGGATCGGGTGGATTATTAGAATTAATTTAAAAAAATTGCCTTGCTTGGCTGAAACCATCTGTACTACTATCATAGTCACTACTGTCGCAGTCATCTAGAAAACTTCCACTATTTCCAGACTGATTTGCAGATATTTCGGATTCTGATTCCAAATCAAGAAATTAGCTCTTCTGAATCATCCATTATTTTATGATAAAGATGGTTTTCACTATTTGTATGTAAATGAAGTTATCAAATAATACATAAAATACATACTAAAAGCTAAACACTCAAAGATAAAGACTCGTGAAGTAATACAAGACTTGTGAGAAAGCCGGCCCTTTTAGACCAAACAACAGAATACATGTTGCAAACTAACATTTTTTAGACAACTACTGCCTCCTATACGGCTAGTTTGACATTAAAAATAGGAAAAAGTATGATCAAAACAGTGAAAGCGACAAAAGAAATCGGATTGCCCACATGCCGTACGAGAAAATCATTAAAGGTACAAAAACCGTGTCTGTACGGTGTGTGGGCTAAACAGGCAAGAGGTTAATGCATATGATAGCT